CCTAGCAGAGTCGTACCATGTGTCAGGCAGCGGCAGCAGGACCAGAAAGGAAGGGATGGATCTGAGTCACCTGGGAGGCTGGCGTGCCCAGCACACAGTGGGCCCTCAGTAAATGCTTGTACAGTAAGGTTGGGTTCTGCGTGAGCGGGGACTGAGACGGAGGCCTTCTGTGGCCTGGAGAAGGCAGGACAAGCCTGACGGGGCCAGGCAGAGGGCGATGGCCTGGAGGCTCTAACCCCCGACACAGCCCAGCACCCCCAGTAATTTCACTGCAAGACCAACCGACCGCAATTCACGCCTCTGCGCTCTGTGGGGGACACTTCCCGTACCCTGAGTTAACTGAAAAAGAAACTAAGGCTTTGAAGACAGAACCAGAGTCAAGGCCCTTCAGAGCCCCGTGGGATGCTCTGCAGGACAGGTGGCTGCAGCTGGGGGCCCCTGAGAACCACTCGGAGCCGGTGGGAGGTGGGTGGGCTCCCAGAGGCTCTGGTTTGGGGTTTCTTTGCTCGCATTTTGTTTTGTTTAATTTTTTTCACTATGTATGCTTCGTTTTGGAAATTTCTATTAGTGTGACTTAAAGTTCACCAATATTTTCTTTGGAAATGTCTAATCTGCCATTAATCTATCCAGTGCATTTTTTTTTGAAGTACAGTCAGTTTACAGCATTGTGTCAATTTCTGGAGCACAGCACAACGGTTCAGTCATACGTATGCATACATATATTTATTTTCACATTCTTTTTCATTAAAGGTTATTAGAAAAAATTGAATATAGTTCCCTGTGCTATACAGTATGAACTTGTTGTTTATCTATTTTACATATAGTAGTTAGTGTCTCCAAATCTTGAAATCTCAATTTATCCCTTCCCATCCCTTCCCTCCCTGGTAACCGTGGTTACTATCATGTCATGATACTAACTATCATGTCATTTTGAAGTGACTGAACCTCAGCACATTGAGAAGCCTGGCTTGCAGGACATCTCGGACTTCGCCCACACCGAGGGCAAGTGCTCGCAGTGGGGAGGATGGCCTCTCCCCCTGCCCCCAACCCCTCTGACTTCTGAAGAAGAGAGTCGTGGAAACCGGCTCAGGCCCCTCTGACCCTTGGAGAAACATTTCTGGGTCAAGAATTTCCAACCCATAAATCCCCCAAGTTTCAAATTCAAAGGAGGCCTGTGCAGGGCTGGGTTTGCACAACCTTTCACATCACACAGCTTCCTGCTCCGTGGCATCCGGCAAGCATGCATTCTGGGCCAGGGTTCAGAGAGATGGGCTGAGATACATGATTTAAAGTCACATGGAACTAACATGGTGTTGTAGACAAGTATACTTTAAAATCAAACAAACTCGTAGAAAAAGATCGGATTTGTGGTTACCACAAGTGGGGAGTGGGGAGGGAGGACCTGAATGAAAGTGGTCAAAAGCTATAAACTTCCAGTTATAAGACAAATAAGTACGAGGGATGTAATGTACAGCAGGCTAAACGTAATGAGCATTGCTGTACGTTACATACGAACGTCGTCAAGAGAATAAATCCTGAGTTCTCATCACAAGAAAAAAACCATTTTTCTATTTCTTTAATTTTTGTATCTAAATGAGATGATGGATGTTCACCAGACCTATTGTGATCATCACTTCATGATGTACGCCAATCAAATTATTATGCTGTACACAGTAAGCGTATACAGTGCTGGATGTCAATTATATCTCAATAAAGCTGGAAGGAAAAATGATAAAATCAGATGGAAGCCTCAGGGCCCTGGAATTTGCCTAATCAAAAAAAATTTTTGGAATGTCCACATGGTGTGTTTGGACTGCAGCAGGGGGTGGTGTCAGGTGTCAGGGCCTCTTTGTCACCCCAGTTTCCCTCCGTGGACACCAGCGTGGGTGTCTCCCAGGTGAATCTGCCACCACGACTCATCTGTCCTGCACTTTTCCCCTCTTCAGAATCTGCCAAATAAAAGTCAGCATTCTTGAAGTGGAAACTTGTTTATAAATCTAAGACTTTTTTTTTACAGAACATTTTTGGGCTGTAGCAGAGTATTATTTTAACATTTCCTCTCAAATGTTTTTTCCACATTTGGGCAAGGCAGGAGACCGAGGAATTTTTGTTTGTTTTTTCAGAAGATACAGCAGTGTTTGGAGAAGACAATGAGTTCCTGAGCTTTCTCTCTCTCACGGGGGATCCCAGGCTGAGCCTTCAAGATCCACTCTGCTGGCCTCTGCCAGTCAAACTCTGTGTTCACACAAAATTGCTGGACGAGAAAAGTTAGTCCATAAAAATTCCTGCAGGAAAACCCCACCCCTTGCTTATCTCGGGGCATCTCTGTTCCTTGGAGATAAGGGTCTGTCCTTCCACTCCTGGCATGTCAGAGCTGAGAGGCCATCAAACCTCCTCCCCTGTTTACAGAGGGGAAACTGAGGCCCCTGGAGAGGAACAGTTCATTTTGGCTGAGCATAGAATCCTTTTCTCCCAACGTTTTTCCTTTGAAAAATGTCAAATCTATAGAAACATTGCAAGACGAGTACAATGACTCTCCATACTTGCCAGCTGTTAACATGATGCTACATTTGCTTTGTCTCTTGCTTTCTCTTTCTCTCCTTAAATACGTGCGTGATTTCCGGATATCGCGACACCTCACCCACAATAGTCCAACACATGTGTCTTCCTACAGAACCACAACACGGCGGTCACATTTGGGAATTTTAATGTCTAATCTACATGATTACCCAATACACATTCTATAATTCAAGTTTCTCTCATTGTCATACGAACTACTGTAGTGTTCATTACAGCTTCTTCTTTTTAACCCAAGAATTCACCAAGGATGACAGTTGAGTTGTTACGTCTTCTTCAGTCTCCCATAATTCTCTCCTATTTTGTTGTTTTGTTTTTGCTTTTGCCTTTTATGACGTGAAAATTCTTGCACATCCAGGCCAGCTGGTTGGCAGAAAGCCCCTCAGTTTGGATGTGTCTGATTGTTTCCTGTTGATTAGGTTCAGGTTAGACTTCCGGGCCAGGAGCACTCCATAGATGATGTGAGCCCTTCCCAGAGCCACGACACCCGGAAGCGCACAAGGTCAGTCCATCCCTTGACTGGTGGCATTGGGTTTGATGATGTCATTAAGTTGGTGTCCCCAGATTTCTGCATATCTTGTTTCCTAAAAAGATTTCACCCTATGATTTTAACATCTTTTGAGATGATTCTTTCTTGAACCAGTTATTACCAGGATGGTTGTAAAATGTGACTTTGGTTTTGTCATTCCTTCTACATTTATCAGTTGTTCTTTTTTTAATTAATTTTTTTCCTTCCAGTTTTATTGAGATAGAATTGTCATGTAGCCCTGTATCCATTTTCTGAGGGGGGAAGGTCATTGGGTTTTTATATATGTATGTATGTATGTATTTAATGGCAGTACTGGGGATTGAACCCAGGACCTCGTGCTTGCCAGACACGTGCTCTACCACTGAGCTCTACCCAGCCCCCCCCCCAGTTGGTATTCTTCTTTAAAGAAGAATTTTCCCTTCTCTTTTAAAACTTTTTATATTAAAGTATCATTATTGACTTTAAGATTTGTATTTTATCCACTGGGCTGAATGGGTTACTTTGATTATTTATTTTAATATTTCCTCAATCTGGCTGCGGGGAGCCCCTTCAAGCCCCTTCTGTGCTAATGCCTTTGACACATCCCCATCATTCTTTGAGCGCTTCTTTATTCTGGATTTTCCCTGTCCCAGTCCTGGAGTCGCCATCTCTGCAGGGGCCCTGGTGCCATTTACCGGGGAGTAGGGTTTCGGGTCCAAGAGTTCTAACTGAGCTCTTGCAACTGGTGTCATTGCTTCTAGGCCCTCTCAGTAGACTGGGCTAGAGGGTTGTTTTGTTACTTCTTCATAACGATATTATTCACTGAAAAGACTGCAGAGCCCTTCCTCCACTCCAAATCTCCCTCATGCTATGCTGAGAACCCAAGTTCTGACAGCACCAGTCTTAGGGTTGAAAGTCCCAAAGTTGCCTCCAAACTGCTCTGCCTCACCCACTCACCCCCCCCCCACTGCCTCACTAGTGAGAACCAGGGTCTGTTCCATTTCTCTTTGTCCTTGGAGGATTCTCCACCAAGGGAACACAGGCAGGCAAGCTGGATTCAAAGTCCCTCAGACAGTCCTTTTCTTCAAGTGGTTAAGTCATCAACATCACACGCAGGTTCATTAGTTACTGTTGGGTTCCAATTTTAATTTTTCCCCATCCTTTTACTTTTATTTCTTAACTGTAAATCCTAATATTTAAAGTGCCCTGGGAGATGAGCAAGGTTCCTGATGCTGGAGGGAACCATCTAGTCCAGATGAAGACCCTGTCACTATTTTCAAAATCCCCTCCTCCCCCCAGGAAGCAGGCCTTAAAACCCCAATCCATCTTTTGAAACAGCCCTGGGCTGGGTGGCAGGACGCCAGCACTCCACCAGCCTCGGCGTTTCCAGGGAGCCCACTTGCAGCCCTGGCTGACCCCTGGCCTCCCTGGGCCATGGTCTTGCTCCTGTGAACTAGAAAATTCACACCAGAGATCTGCGTACAGCTCACAGATCCAGGACTTCAAGGTTTCCATGACACCACTTTCCCCGTTAACCCGTTTCATCTTCGCAAGAGCCCAGTGATTGGTGCATACTAGGGTTTCCGTAAATAGAATTGCATAAAGAAATTAGCGTTCTCACTTTACAGTATGGAAACTGACGCTCAAAGAGGGGATGGTTTGTCCCTAAGGAATCATTAGGCGAGAGACGCCGTGAAGGCTCCGTTCCAGCCTCGACACACAGTAAGGGCTTTGGTCAGGGCTCTGGGAAAGTCCCGCGCGGACAGACTTGTGCCCTGGACGCCTCGCGCTCCCAGGGAGCCCGGGGCGGGGTGTATGCAAATATCCTGCGAGGAGGCCGAGGATTGGCTGGCTCAGGCAGGGGCGGGGCGCGCCGGGGCCCAGGGCCCGCAGGTGCGCGGAGCGGGAGAGGCGCGGTGCCCTCTCGCTGCCTGGACCACCCGCCCTGTCTCAGCTTCTCCCAGGCGATGCCTCCGCTCTGGGTCCTGCTGGCCCTCGGCTGCCTGAGACTTGGCTCGAGTAAGCGGGGGATGAGAGGAGGGGGCTATGCCCAGGGAGGGGCGTGTCCTGCATGCACCTTGATCCTCCGGAGGGGTCTCGATGGGAAGTGGCATTAGGTTTGGGAACTTGACTTACTCACTCCAGGAATAGACGTGAATGCCTGCTCTGTGCCAGGCCCTGTGAAGGCTCTGGGGGCCCAGATAGTAATAATAATAGCCAACAGTGTTAGTAAGCTTCCTCTGATGCGGATTTAAGTGCTCTGTGTTGGCTGCTGTAAGACATAAACAGGAGGCTGTGGGAGAGCAGAGGGGGACTGGTCTAGACTCACAGTGATGCCTGGACTCGGGAGCTGGAGGGACATTTCAGGTGAAGGAGCAGCATGGGCGAGTTCAGGGAGGAGGGGGTGGCATGCTGTATCCTGGGAACATCCCATCTATTGTCCATCAGTGTGATTGGAGCACGAGGTCAGGAAGTTTGCATAGAGCTGAGGCTGCAGACCCAACGAAAGAGGGTCCAGCACTTTAGGGCCTCGCTGCTTCTCCAGAGAGGCTGGGCTGTGTTGGAGCAGGGTGCGGAGCCAGGAAGGGGCCCAGCAGGAGAGCGACACAGTCAGGTTTGCAGGTTGGAGAGCAGAGGACGGGGGAGGGCTCCTTACTAGGGTCCAGGTGAAAAGGGTGGACTCTAAGACTGGGCTGACGGGGGTGGAGAAATGCTTAGGAGGGGCAGTGGGGTTATTGGCGACAGCATGTCTGTTGCGGGGAGCAAGAGGGTAGCTGTTTAGCTGGATTGCCCAGTTTCTGGTCAGGATCGCTGGGTGGGGACAGGGGTGAAGCTTGTGTCTGAGACAAGTTCCTGAGATAGCCTGTGGGGAGAGTGAAATCCAGTGCCTGGCACACAGCAGGTGCTCAGTAACTGCAGACGTGTGTGTGCAGGGGGTGCCCACTCATGTGGCCAGTTTTGCCAGGGGTCAGCCCCTATCCTCATTGCCTCCTCCAGGTGTGAACCTCCAGCCCCAACTGGCTAGTGTGACCTTTGCCACCAACAATCCCACGCTCACCACCGTGGCCTTGGAAAAGCCTCTCTGCATGTTTGACAGCTCCGTGCCCCTCCCTGGCACCTACGAGGTCTACCTCTATGTACTGGTCGACTCAGGTAAAGGTCCTGCCTTCCTCGGGCTACTCAGAAAGGGTCTTTGACCTGTCTGCAGGGAAGCGGGAAGGAGGCAGGTAGAGGGGTGCTCCATCCCTGGAATTAACCTGACCCATGCACCTCACCAACACTCACCGGTGTCTGCTCTGTGCCAGCCCTGGGCTGGGTGCTGTGGTCACAGACGCGTCTCTGTCCTGGAGGGACATCCAGCCTAGCAGGGGAAATAATGCCACCACCAATCACTGAGTATGTCTATTGTGGCAGGTGCTTTGTACACCTTACAGCCAATAGTTACAAGCAGTCTGCCAGGTCACTGTAACGGTGCCCATCACAGGGGCAAAGAATCGGGGCTCACAATGGCAGAGTAATTCACTGGAGCTCCCAGAGCTGGAGAACAAATCAGATTCTCTGGTCCTCAAGTCCAAGTCCTTGCCAAGGTTTCTCCAGGTGGTTCAAAATCAGGGTGTGGGAGGGAAGCCATGCATTCGGACCTGCCAGCTCTGGCCTCACCCACACCTGTTCACTGGCAGGATCCTGGGATCGGAGAGTAGGAACCCGATGACAGCCTCTTATGTTTCTAGCAGCCAGGCATTTACACCAGCGCATGTAAGAGCATCATTTTATTCTTTCAGCAGACATGTACTGACTGACTACCTGTGCCCAATCCCAGTCCCAGCCTGTGGGCACTGCAGAGTATTTTTCTCCCATTTCACAGAGAGTCAGAGAGGTAAAGTGAGTTGTCCAAGGTCACCCAGCAAGTAAGGAAGAAATCCTAGGACCAGCACAGCGCTGGCACAGAGAGGATGCTTAGGGACATTGGATGAATGACTGAATGGGTGACCGATCTAAGGTGGCCAGGAACCTCACCCCCAGCCCCTGGCACTACCTCCACAGCCAGCTCCAGGAATGCCTCTGTACAGGACAGCACCATGACCCCATTCAGCTCAACATTCCAGCAGACGGAGGGAGGAAGGACAGGTCCCTATAAGGCCGCAGCCTTTGACCTGACCCCATGCAGTGACCTGCCCAGCTTGGATGCTGTTGGGGATGTGTCCCAGGCCTCGGAGATCCTGAACGCCTACCTGGTCAGGGTGGGCACCAATGCGACCTGCCTGTTCGACCCCAACTTCCAGGGCCTCTGCAACCCACCCCTGTCAGCAGCCACGGAATACAGGTGCGTGTAAGCGGCAGCGGGAAAGCGGCAGGTGGGCCCCAGCCCCTGCCTCGGGGTGCCCCGGAGGGGCTACAGTGTGAGAGCCCTTTCTCCAGAACCTACCATGTGCCAGGGCTGTCTCAGGTACCATAAAGGCTTCCTGGCTTCCTGGGCTGGCGACGGTGCCCGGGGCCCTGCGCTCAGAAGGACCCCTCTTGGCTTAATACTCTGCCACTGCCACCTTGAAATTCTTAATTTTTAAACATAGGGGTTCATTTTCCTTTTGCACTGGGCCCCACAAATTATGTACCTGCTTCTGTCCTATCACCTGTGTGGCAGTTCGTTTGACAGGGAAGGAACTGTGGTCTAGAGAGGGAGGGGAGGTCACCTCAAGAAAAGCTGGGCTCAGCACGAAGGTCCTACCCGTATACCCTTCCGTGATCCACCCCAGCACAGAGGGTCCCTGATTCATTTTCTGAGCATCTTCTCTGTGAAGAGCTGGGGGCTCATCCCTGATCCATGGCCGGGCGTCTTACCCAGCCTTGGGTTAGATGACACCCACTCCTGTTACCTTGGAGATGCCTCGGTTGGGGTCTCTGTATCCTCAAGGCCACATTTGGGGCCCAGGCCACCCCTCACCTGCCATCCTCTCGCAGGGCTCGCTCCTCCTCTGGCCTGGGCCGCCGAGCAGGACACGAGTCCCGGCTCGCCCCTTCCCCACCCTCAGTCCTTACTCTGACCTTGTTCTTTTTTTTTTAATTATTCTTACTTTTTATTGAAGTGTAGTCGATTTACAGTGTTAGTTTCAGGTGTACAGCAAAGCGATTCAGTTATACATGTACATACATACATTTTTCAGAGTCTTTTCCATTATACCTCATTACAAGAAATTCAGTATGGTTCCCTGTGCCCTGACCTTGTTCTTAGTATGTGAAAGCCTCTCCCTCTTCCTTGACCTCGAAGCCCACCCTGCCTTGGGGACACCAGGCACAAATTCCAGCCTCCAGAGTTCCCACCTTCGAATCTTGAGAATCAGAGGATTAAGCAAAATGCTGCATGCTACAGAGATTTTAAGGGTCTTCATTTTTTTCTTAAGTGTCAAACTGGAGGCTGTTGATTTCTTTGTTCTCAGAACACCTGTCATTTTAAACTGAGGGTGAAGAAGATCTAAAGCTGGCTACTTTGTACGGAGTCCCCTGGTCTTCCTTTATGATTTGTAACACCTGACTGGGATGTTCTGCATATAAAGTTAGCCCTTATCACAGGGTGGTGGGGTTGCAAGCAGATATTACTCCTTTTTAAGGAAAAGTCCCTGCGGTGAAACCTAAGACCAGGCTGGGAATAGAGGAAGGCAAAGATGCAAGGATGCTGCATAGGCCAATTGTCAGCAAATACGCTACATGCTAATAAATACAACAGGGAAACAGGTGCTCCCAGAAGGAAAGCCTAGACTCTGGCGGCTTCGTGGAGGATGTGCTGTCTGACCTGCAGAAAGGGCCCGGGGTGAAGGTGCTGCTGATGCAAAGGCTCCCACCTAGATTTCTATCTCCTGGAAGTCCCAGCTCTGCCCCGACCCCCCATCCTCTTCCCCCTCCTTCTGGCCGAGGCTCACAGGATGGATAGAAGTCATTCTCTCTCCACTTCCTTCCAGGTTCAAGTTCGTCCTCGTCAATATGTCCACGGGCTTGGTCCAGGACCAGACCCTGTGGTCAGACCCCATCTGCACCCACCGGCGTAAGTGGTGGGGCAGGGCTGGGTGGCGGTCCTCAAGGGAACCTGGGAAACAGACTCATGCTGTCACTCGGAAGTCTCCCCAGACACAGGCAGGCCATTGGGTTATGAGGAAAATGCATCTTGAAAGAATTTAACCTGAGAAATCCTCCTCCCTCCCTCCCTTCCTCAAGAGCAGGAGATGCCGTGACCGAGGAAGATGAAGGATTTGCGGGTGTCTGGGTGGGCTGCACGGGTGTAACTGAAGTCAGACTCAGCGGCATTGCCAGCCCTGATAGTGTATTTGCCTCCAAGGGGCATGGAGTTTATCCTGCATTTAGACCCAGCCGGCCCCTTTGTTGAACCCTCAGGACAACATTTCCATGTAAGATGTTTCCAGAGGCATCTTAACCTCAGGGGCATGGAAACAGCTGGAGACCCAGATGTTTTCCTAAAGATGGGTAGGGGGAGTCTCGACAGGCCCAGGACATCCTGCCCTGTCCCCGCGCAAGCCTGCCTCTGAGTTCTTAACACAGATCCAAGATTTATACACACGGAATCATGTCTGCTGAACTTTAGGGGCAATGGAAGAGATTTCCAAGGGAAATTTTGCCGGCCTGTGACCCTAACTTTAGAACTCGCCTGCACCACACCTCAGCCTCCATGAGGTGACTGCTTGGCACCCAAGATGGGCTCAGCCTGGAGCACAGCGCTTTTCCCCTGGAGCCTCCTGCCACCCACGGTGTATGTGGCTGGGCGGCTCCTTCCCACCCTCGGGGCGTGCCCGTGCCTCGTGGTCCCGCTGAAACAGCACTGCCCTAGGGGCGAGAGTCCCAGGTTCAAGCCTGGCCTCTGAGCATCACTGCTGTGTGAGCCCTTCGGAACCCCATTTTCCCATCAGAGAAGTGGGAAGGAGAAGCCTTGCTGTTTTCCCAGACAAAAGCACCAGGCCCAGCCCTCTAGGGGCACAGCCTGGAGGTCAGTCTGTGCAGAGAATGTGTCCTTTGGGACCAGACAGACCTACAGGCTTGAGGCTGGATTCTAAGAGCCCTTGCACGTGAACTCAACCTCCCTAAGCTGCAGTGAGCGGTCTGCAGAACAGGGGTCTCGTGGGATCTCTGTGGGACACTGAATGCAAAGTGCTGGCTCACAGGAGGACCTATAGGTGGTTTGTCCATTTAGTTCCAAAAGGGGGACACCGGCCAGAGCAGAGGGAGACCACGGTCCCCCTGGCTCCGTTAGGCCAGGCACCTTTGCTCTGCCTTCATTTCAGTCGTTTGTAATCTGTGTCCCATCCGTCTCACCAGAAGACTTGAGTCAGTTTACAATTTAAAATTATGCAAAAAGGCAGTTAACTGAGAGAGAGACCAGACACACACAAGAGCAAGTTGGGGAGTGGGATGTGGGGGCAAGTCAGATAATTGCACCTCAAACCCAGGGGAGGCAGTCCCTGAGCAGGGTCCTGGCTTCATCCCTGAGATTTTCGGCCACCAGGGCAGGGGCCATGGGTACTCCCCTGGGAGAAGGCTGAGGGGTGCGGTGTCTGGGGAGTAACTGAGCCTGCATCCTGTAGTCATCCCGTACTCGTCGATCGACACGTGGCCCGGCCGGCGGAGCGGGGGCATGATCGTCATCACATCCATCCTGGGCTCCCTGCCCTTCCTCCTGCTTGTGGGCTTTGCTGGCTCCATCGTCCTCAGCCTCATGTGAGTACCGGTCAGCTAGGGGCGGGACTCAGGGACACACTCCAACGGTGGGTGGATTGGGGGGTGTCTTCCTAGGCCGGGAGAGCCCAGGAGCAAGAGAGCTGCCTTCCACGCTGGTGGGGCAGGGTCTAGTGAGAGGGGAGCAGGGTCCTGGGGTGTCCCAAGGTCAAGTCTTCAGCAGGGTTGGCAGCGAGGCTTTGTGGGAGGAGCCCAGCTCTGACACAGCTGTGCACTTTGGGCAAGTATCTTATCCTTCTATGCCTCAGTTTCCTCCTCTGAAACTGGAGACTGTAATGAATATTATCTGCCCCGTGGAGCTGTGAGGGTAAATGAAGTATTCCCTGTAGAGCCGCAGGGCAGTACTCCACCCGTTGAGCAGGTATTAGCTTGTGTTGTCATTATAATTCACCCACTTGCGGTACAGATGGGGAAACTGAGGCCTGAGGGGGGGAAGGTGGCCCAAGGTTATGCAGCCAGTTAACCAGAGCTCCTGAGTCTTCTGACTCCATGAGCACCTCTGATGTATGTCAATTTGGATTAGGACTCAAGGTCTCCTGTAGGGTGTTTGGAGCAACTGGTGGGAAGACAGGCAGGCAGTCAATCCATTAATCTTGGGAGAATGGAGCAGGGAGTGACTCAAGGCACCTGCAGGTGTGGGAATCCAAAGGAATCCAGGGAGGGCAGATCCTGCCTGGAGCATCAGGGTGGGCTTCCTGGCAGAAGGACCAGCAGGAACAAACTCTTACCAGGGCAGGGATGAATCAAAAATTCACATGCAGTGTAATTCTCAGGAAGACAGGAAGGGAGACCCAGGGGGCTTTAAAGATAGAGGGTGCTTGTTCCAGTGAGGGTGGGGTGAGCTGATGGAAAAGGTTCTTTGAGTAGGTGGAATTAAGTGGAAACATAGAAATTAGCCAGGCAGGAAAGACTTGTAGGTTGGGTGAGGGATGGAGTAGGGAGGGGACAGTGAACTGGGAAATCAGATAACCCTCTGACATTTAAGTTAACAAAAACACAAATAATAGATGAGATTAACCATCAAGAGACTGGTCTGTCTGGCCAGACCTGGGAGCAGTCAGGATGTGGTTATGTCCCTTCCTCCCTTTGGGTAGCACCCTAATCTGGCACCGAAGGTCCTGTTATCTGACTTTTTCTGAGAACATTTGTCCCCCTACCCTCCCCCTCCCAACTCCAGCTGCACCAATCTTCCCAGTGTTACCCCAGACATTCCCCAGTCCTTCCTATCAAATGCCTGGAATGCCTTTCTGTGCTCCCACTTTCCTTTTTGAGGGCGAGATTAACTGCCTCCTCCTCCAGGAAG